CTTTCTATAAGTTTCTTGTTTCCATATTTAGCGGCAAAGATTAAAGGAAATATAGAAACATTGGTAAACATTTTATATTCCTCGATGGTATTTTTATAGTTTGGACAGGTTGTTGCTTGTTTCCAAAACTTGAAACTTGTGTGAAGCCGTCGCATCGTTGCCCAAATCATCAGTTGATTTAGCAGTATAATAATAAAAACAAACATGCCTTTTAAATGGATAATAGAAAATATAATAATATGTTTAATTGAATTATACCGAAATGCTGAGTGTTTGTGGAATCCACGGGATAAAAAGTATAAAGACCGTTACCAAAAACAGGATTTATGGGTGGATATATGTAATGGAATTGGAAATGGCGTTACTGTTGAAGAAGTTAAAAGAAAAATTAAAAATTTGGTGGCACAATTCTACTGAGAGAAAAAAATATAGCTCATATAAAAAATCTGGTGCTGGAGCATATTTTGTTAGTAAATGGTTGTGTAAGTACATGGAATAAGTACATGGAATTTCTGTCAGACAAAAAGGCAATTCGTCCTTGTACCACATTGTAAACTAGAAACAGAAACACACACTGCACTGGTGTGGACACATGTTTCTTGGTGCAGCAACACAACGAAACATTCACAAGAATGAGTTACTTTGGTGTGGAAAGAATGTTTACGGAACTTTTGCTGTTGTTTCAGTTTCCATAAACAGGTAGCGGCTATCTGCAACAAAATGTTTCTTTGTGTTTCTTTAGTGTGGATGTAGCTTAAGAAAATCATTATAATAAATTTGATACTGTACCGGGGTACCAATATCCCCTGGTTCCCAAGCAGCATTTGGACGTCGGGACAACGTTGTGTCACGCGACCAAACGTCGGGGCGCAACGTCGGCACAACCTCGTGCCAACCCTAGTCTGCACTAGTTTGGAGAATAATTTTTGGGTCGAAACGACGTTGGATACCGACGTTGGCTAGCAGCCTAATTTAGTACAAACTGCAACGTTGTTTAAAATCCTAATTCACAGAAATACAAAACTAATATTGCGTCTAAGTCGCGTTTTATCCTAAATTGGGATAATTATAGTAAAAATATTATTTTTATGATTTAGTTAGAGACATATGTCAGATGGCAGTGAAGGAAAACAAAACAAAAGTATTTAAGTGTGGAGGATGTTTGAAGATCATAATTATTGAAACACTTTAACCGACTCTGTAACTCATTACCCAAGGCAAAAAAAGCTAAACGCAAACAACTTTATTGATAAATGTATTGTTTCTACTTTGAAAAATACTAATGGGCCTTAAAATTAAAGAAGTTTTAAAAATTTTCTTGAATTTTTTTTTAGTAAAATGAGAATAATTTATTCGCAGTCGAAAAAATTGTTTCCGCGTGTTTTTTAGGGTCAAATATTTCAAGTTAATGTATTCAAAAAGCAGGAATTGCTATTTTAGGAACGAAACATTTTCTTATTTAACAACATGGCGGCTTTCACTTTGTTGTTTTGGAGATTAAGATGGAGTAGTTCGAGTAGTCGCATACTGGATTAATAAAGTCGCAGTTCGGCCTTAACAGGTAGTAGATTCTTAACAGTCGCAAGATTGCCTAATTTAGTCATCCTAGAGTCTAGCTTGTGCCGCCCCCTATAATCTAAATAAACGAGGGAGTGGATAAACTATCGGTAATATATGTCGATGTATATTTAAATTTAGTTTTATATGTACCTTTCTTATGTCCCATTTTCATTAAGTTTTTTTTTTTATAAAAACAAAAACAGCACTGAACTGTCTGACTGAACAGAACAATGAAGTGAAAATTTTAGTTTTAGTTTTGAGGTTATGGTTCAATACAGTTGCAAAAAAGTAGTGACTCGACGTCCTACCAACGTAAGAATAAGGAAATCTAAACAACGTTGGAATTAGTAAAACAGACGACGTTTGCATAACGTTGGAATAGGTCCTGAAACTGACGTCGGAAAACTCTATATTGTCCAACGTTGTAACTACGTTGTCCGAATCACCTAAAGATCACTTAAGCAAAAAAGGTTAGAAGACAACGTTTATTCGACGTCGCAGAAGCTTCTACTTTCCTGTAGTACTAGTCCAACGTCGGCACAACGTTATAAAAACGTTTAAATTTATTTTAATACCCAAGGTAGGGAGCTAACTATTTTTTGTAACTAATCCAACGTTGTGTTTAGTAAACATGTGGTCGCAAGTCGTGAAAATGCTACTTGGGTTGTATGCTAGGAAGTAAATTTTCATGCATATTTTCATCGATAGGTTTGTAGGTCTAGGTCTAGGTAAAGCATCTAGCTCAATTGCTAGCTCAGAATTAGAATTGTTAGAGTTAAGCCACTCGCATTTTTATTAGAGGAAATTGTCATATTTATTTCAAACCAATAATCAACGAGAATATTCGTATAATTTAACAAAATTACTGTAAACCACCATAAATACGAATTGTTGGTTAGGTTCAAAATGTTTTCTCTTCTTAAATGAATTTAAACGGTAACATTATTAGATATTTCCATAAAAGTGTGTATTTTGGGTGGTATTTTACAAAATTTTTAGGCTATTGAGGAAACAGAAAATGTACAGATTACAGAAATAAATTGAAAATAACATTTATAATAAAACAGCACTATATGTCACTTTTTCAAACATGTCCATATTTACTTTTATTTGTCATTACCTAATTAAATAAACTTAAACCAAACCCAATAAGTATTTGAAACTAAAATATATTTTAGATTAAAGTGACTAACGCTTAATTAGTAAATCTACTAAAACGGTTAGCTTTATATTGCAGAACTTGAGGCAATTAAACCGTCAAAGGATAAAGTTGTTTCTAAAGGAATAGTTAAATAATTGTTAAACTATTTCAAGTAATCGGAATTTGCAGAACTTTGTAGTATAACGATTTAATCTTGTACTTTATAAAGTGCCATAATTTTATATACAATATGTTATATGATCTACAAATGAATTTTTTCCATAGCAACTGTTAAAATTGCCTTATATCTATCATAAATAGTAGATAAAATAGTACTGTAACCGCAAGGGTAGATTAAATGATACTTTAACAGCGAGAATAGGTTAAAAACTTTATTTCTTCTCGCACGTTTTTTAATTGCTTTCATTTTTGAATATTTTTGTAATCCTTTTCATAAGTTATTCGGGATTTAAATGGAAGTAGTTTGGATATGGCGTTTGTCGCCTCAGCCTGAATATCTGTTGGTAATTTACTTATTTCGTTTTGAGCCATTTCTGGCTCCAATTCAATCAGCAATCGACACGAAAGAGAATTAAGAAATATTGACTCAAAACTGACAACTAAAGAGACAGCTTTATTTATTGGTCAAATTACATAGAAACCAACGCCAACTCCTAAAATATAAATTCCTTGAAATAATAATTTCTGAATATTTTTTAAAATGTAACTCGCTATGGAAAAAATATTGTTTTATACACGACGATAAAATTGCATTGTTTATAAAAAATAACTATTATTTCTATATAAAAGCAGAATAATCGCTTTATGATATAATGCAAGGTAAATGGGCAGGTATTATAAAAATACCTTGGTATATTGGCAAACGGGAAAATTTGACCAAGATTTTGCAAAATTTTCCCATCCGTTTTATATTTACAATTAAACTAAAAATATTACAATTGATGGTTTTTTTATAATTTAAAAATTTAGTAAATATAATGGGAAATTCTAATATTTTATTTATTTTTGCTGAATTGAAAGTGTATAAAAAGTAATTTAGTAATTCTAAAACAGAAATTTTAGTGTGGTTTTCTTAGATATCAGTGCACAATCATTTAGAATGTAAGAATCAATAATACTTTTTATGTTTTTTTACGAGTTTTTCGCGATGATTTTTATTTGATTTTTAACCTTATCGCTAGAGCTGTATAACCTGCGGCAAATATAAACCGAATATGCTCAGTCACGTGTTAATAGATAAGAATTGTTTTCCGATGCATAGGTCATTGATTTTTGAACGATATAAACTCGTTTTGTTGCTAGGTAGTATGTGGCAAATTTTAAAATGTAGATAACGCTATAAAAGATAAAAATATAAAATAGAAAACAAATTTCTTGCAGTATAGGTATATAATAAAATTATATAAGAATTCTTGCCACTTAATTGCTGATATAGAAATTTAATTCTGCGCTGTGTTTGTCATAATGTGGATCAACCTGACAAACACAATAAAAATATAGAGTTCTATTTCGTGGGTTCTATTTTGTAGGTTCTGGCAATATACTTGTAATATATGTAATATCAAATTATTTACAAAAATTACAAAGTATATAGATAAAAGTAAACTCCAACAAACCGTATAAAAGTGGCATGTTTTGAATGTATTAAACTGCAAACCTCAGAACAGCATAGAGGGATAGTTTGGAATAGAGATCAACGTTGTCTCTGGCGTGCTCTTTTACTTGTGAATTCCTGGCAGCGTACGACATATATTGTGTGTATTTGATGTAGGTTTATTCTGTAGGTATATTTTTAAAATTTTTATTTTTCTTAAATAGTTTAATGTATTCGTTTTTTTTCTAGTTCAAAAAATTTAATTTTAACAATTAAAAATTGCAATATATTAAGAGTTAACAAGGCATTATTTTATGATATTTGTGTTTTATTTAAAATTAAACACAATTTCTAAATATATGATCAGCACTTTTTAGGACACGGTTTAAGATCTGAGAAAATAAAAACGAAGTCAAACAAGCTAATTTCATCAAATTTGGAACCCTAATTACTTAGAGGTGGAAAGGGTGGCAAAAAATTAAGCTTGAAAAGTGAAAAATCACATGGTCACTGTCGTCACTCAAATGTGACGTTAGTAGTTGAGGATTAATTTCATATCTTGTGTTTATAATATTAATAACATTAACAATTTGAAACAACAAACCTTAACACAATACTAGTGTGAAATTAAAGTTTCAAGAACAACGTAATCTCTTTCTTCATTAAGCTAAATGTTTGTTCCAGATAAGGCGCCGTCAGAAGCTGTTTTCCGCGGCACCGAATTTTTATCGTACGATCTGAGCCAAACCGGAGGGGAGCCCATTGTCAGCGCCCAGGATACCATTACATTGTATTTTAAGACGCGCCAGCCGAATGGCCTGCTCTTCTACACCGGTGAGTGACAAAAGAGTTAATAATTACATTGTAGCTTTGTTAGAATGCTTGTGTTTTATAGATTATTTAACTCAAGTTGCGAGATTTAATTTAACTGATATACAGTAGGTCTCCGGATTGTCTTTACAAAAAATTTTGATTGTTTTGAAAACAAGATACCGTGTGATAAAAAAACGGTGTCCAGTTTGCTTGGAAATGACGATCGATGGCATTTGCCATATAATTTTACATATAAAATTACAGCGATCTTTATTTCACAGTCATCGGTGACGCTCTTTTTCGATCATATTATATTTAGGGTCATATTATCTTTGTTAAGATTTGCATCCATTGAGATTTAAGATTAAAATTAAAATGTTTTTTTGAAATAGTTTGTTTTTGTATTTTACTTGAGGCACTAAAATGTTATATTAAAAATAATTGTGCCTAAGAAATTATTTTCAAACAAATTCGTCAAATTCAAGCCCAAACTAAAAGAGTTGTTGATAAATGTGAGATATATTTAGGTAGAATATTTTATGTAATTTTTGAAATGAGAGACTATCATTTTATTATAATATATAATTTCAATATGCATTTTCATCAATCTGATGACGTGCTATTTCAAAAGGTTGTTACCGCATATGTTTATTTCTCCATTTAAATGAAATATGCCAGTTTAATTCTCATCTATTTAACTACTTCAAACATTTTCAGTAATGTACAGCATAACAATTTATATGCATAACTATTAACATACATACAAATTCATGGTGATTTAGTGTTTTTATTTTGCTGTGTAACACCAAAGGTTCCAACCCTCAACTGTAATTTTTGAAATGAAAGACCATCATTTTATTATAATATATAATTTCAATATGCATTTTCATCAATCTGATGACGTGCTATTTCAAAAGGTTGTTACCGCATATGTTTATTTCTCCATTTAAATGAAATATGCCAGTTTAATTCTCATCTATTTAACTACTTCAAACATTTTCAGTAATGTACAGCATAACAATTTATATGCATAACTATTAACATACATACAAATTCATGAAATTCTAAATTTTATAATTACTATTTTCAAAATAATAATGTTAAAATTTGATTTCAATATATTAGGTATTGTATTATTTAAAACAAATATTTCGTCCCATATTGCTGCCAAAAGTCACTAACTTACTTTTTATTACTTCCGAGAAAAACGCGTCTAAAGATGAATTGCATGGCATAAAGATGTTATAGTTAGTAACTATTCGGTGTTAAAATAAAACATAGAAAACATAAACAGAAATCGTACTTAATGACTTTCTCATTCGATTAGATCAATTGATTTCAAAATATAGTTAGTAATTCAATTTTCAGGTTGTTCGGAAAAATGTTAGTTAGTGACTTTTGGCAGCAATAGGACGATTTATACTTGAATATTTAAATTTTATTTGATTTAAATATGTTGATAAATAATATAATATTTTAATAAAATTTGTATAAATATTGTAAAATGTTAAAATGTGCACATGTAGGTGACGGAGTGTCAGGAAGCTATAATTTGTGTAAACTTATACAGGGTTGTTCACCACATACGACACGGAGTATTGTAACTAAACGATTAGACTTTTACAAATTGTAAGTTTTGGGTTCGTTGAACGACTATTAGAGCTACAATTTAAAAATATTTTACAAGGTACAGAGTGTCCCAAATAAGTAAAAAATATTATAGTTGTATTTTTTTAAATTGAACACCCTGTATATTATTCTATTTTTCGATTCTACGTTTGAAATAAAGGTAAATTTGATTAAGGTTTATCACGCTTAAACCTTACCGTTTATGAAATATTTTCAATTTTATGAAATTGCAGTGAAATTTTTAAGGCTTCATTTCTCCAAAGGTATCAAAGTTTTTAATACTAAATATTTACTGAAGATTATTTATTGATCAGATATTGTGTTGCAATAATAAAACTTTTACTACCTTATACAGAGTGTCCAAAAATTCATATTAAATAATTACTAGTTTTAAACGGCAATAACTTGTTTAATTTAAATGGAACACCCTATATATTTTAAGTGAATCAGATGCACAATGAAATTGTCTATCAAATTGTATTATACCATTTTTTACCCATTTTTACCATTTTACCCATTTTTACCAAACTTGAAGAGTCAAGTTTTCATAGAAAATGAATTTTCTTATAATTTAGACCTCATTAATCACTATACCCATGGAATATTGACATTTTAGCTTATTTTTAAAGATGTAACAAATTTTCAAAGGGTACAGATACTAAAATTGTCGATATAGTGGCTTATTTAATTAAAAAATTAAAAATACCGTTTAAATATTTTTTTGTTAAAGAGGACCAATTAATATGATCTCAGTATTCAAACTACATTAATTGACTGTTTACGTTGATTAATAATAAATAATTGCTCCAAATACTAAAAAACTGAATTTTGTGTGTGTATTAGACAGTGTGGTAAAAAGTAACACCTTATAAATTTTATTTCATTTTTTGACGAATGCTTATTTATAAAAACAGATACGTTCATTTTCATAACTTATTTTTATATTGATTTCTGGGCCAAATCCACATTTATTTAGAATACTTTATTAATTAAAACAATTTAAAAGTATGTAATTAACTAATTTTTGGTGTTTTTGGTCGGAAATAATGGTGGTATAATTAATTGGTATACTCTTTTACAAAGATTTAAATAGTTTTTTTTGTATGCCAATGAACTTGCAATATTTACCACCTGTACATTTTGTACATATATGGTGCTATAAAAAAATCTGAAATGTCAATATTCCATGGGTATAGTGATAAATGAGGTCTAAATTATAAGAAAATGCATGCAAAAAAAAAAAATTAAAATTTAAAATTTTTACTGGAATTTCATAAAATTGAAAATATTTAACAAACGGTAAGGTTTAAGTGTGATAAACCTTAATTAAATTTACCTTTATTTCGATCGTAGAATCCCAAAATAGAATAATATACAGGGTGTTCCATTTAAAAAAATACAACTATAATATTTTTTACTTATTTGGGACACTCTGTATCTTGTAAAAATATTTTTAAATTGTAGCTCTAATAGTCCTTCAATGAACCCAAAACTTACAATTTGTAAACATCTAAGTTTAGCTACAATACTCCGTGTCGTATGTGGTGAACAACCCTGTATACAGATTACAAACAACCTGCTATAAATATCCACCAAGGTTAGGAAGGAAGGCTCATTATGGATGAGTGTTTTAAAAAAGGACAGAATGTATCCATATTGCTTAAAACAAATCTTCATTGACTGTGTATCAGATAGGCAATAGGTTTAAATACTCTAATAGTATTTTCTTTTATTAGGAGTAAAATTGACACTTTTCGTGGCGAGATTGTACGTTTAACATACAAGCGAGGCACAAAAAGTAATTTTTACTCCGAATAGAACATGTTATTTTTTTCAAACGCCACAAATAATATTTTAAATAATTTCAAACTTTCCAAATAATATAAAAAGATTTAAAAGTAATACCTTGTATGTGATTATACAGGGTCCGGCAATAGTGCGTCGGGCATCTGCAGCTCCTAGAATAAAAAACTTGAGAATTTTGTTTAAGTGCAGACCTAAAGCAGGAAAATATTTTAACTTCTATAGGGTGGCTCAAAAAAGTGTGAGTGGACCTGGATGATTTTTTTTAAATGGAACACCCTGTATATTATTGCATTTTTGGCTTTCTTTCAGATCACTTTACATAACCCTAAGATATAAATAAATATATTTCGATAGTTTCAGAGATATTAATAAATAAATAAAAAATATATATTTTTCAGTCCTTTTCAAAAAAATTATTAAAAATACAAGAACTGTTCTGAAGTCAAAACTATGTTAGGTATTTACTTTAGATGGTCTATTCTTACTTTGCTATAAATATGGTAATCGTAAATCATACAGGTCCAATGTCCAATATTCTACCCAAAACTTTCTAAAATATAAAATCATTTTCCTTTGTTTTTTTAAATGGAACATCCTGTATATTATTTTTTTATTAGATGGAGAATTGAAAAATGAACATTTTTTGTATTTAAAGTATTTCAAAATTTTTAATAGTTTTCCGGATACACGCAGTATTATTTCATATGGCGCTTTCAATGGTAAAATACGAGAGAAAAATCATTGGGTGGCTTTGATAAAAATTTACTGTGGAAAATGCCATATGAAATATAAAACCGCAAATATCTGCGAAACCGTTAAACATTTTGAAATACTCTAAACACAAAAAATGTTCATGTTTTAATTGTCCGTCTACTGAAAAAATAATATACAGGACGTTCCATTAAAAAAAACGATGAAAAATTATTTTATATTTTAGAAAGTTTGGCGTAGAATTTTGAACATCCTGTATGATTTACGATTTTCATATTTATAGCAAAGTAAGTACAGACCATCTAAAGTAAATACCTAATATAGTTTTGATTTCAGAACAGTTCCTGTATTTTTACTATATTTTAAGAAGGGCTGAAAAATATATATTTTGATTTATTTTTGAATATCTCTGAAACTATCGAAATATATTTATTCATATCTTAGGGTTATGTAAAGTGATCTGAAAAGAAGCCAAAAATGCAATAATATACAGGGTGTTCCGTTTAAAAAAAAATATCCAGGTCCACTCACACTTTTTTGAGCCACCCTATAGAAGTTAAAATATTTTCCTGAAATACATCCTGGTACATACTTTAGGTTAGCACTTAAACAAAATTCTCAAGTTTTTTATTCTATGAGCTACAGATGCCCGACGCACTATTGCCTGACCCTGTATATCGAAAAGCTATGGTTGCGCTCGTTGAATTTGACACTTTATGTCAGTTTAATAATATATTTTCGTATTTTTGTGCTTAGGCGTAAAAGTGCTTTACGTTTATGCCTAGGCATTAAAATGACTTTTTTATATTGTCAATCACGTTGGCGTCGCAAAAATTAATACTTTTGTGACTTTTTTGAAAAAAAAAGTATATTTG